TTAGGTCCCCCTTGTATACTTCAGTGTACCCACCAACCTGATCATATGTACACAAACAAATACAAGCAATATCACATGGGAAAGCAATTTTCTTTTGTTTTCTATTGAGAAAAATTCTATAATACACATTTTAAAAAAGAATGTATCATATGCCTAATTACGATTATGTTGTGGTTTTTAGTTATGATCAATTGTGGAGTTTGTTATAATTTAGTTATGACTCATTATAGTGTCGGTTATGACTTAAATATGATGTATTGTGATTGTTATTTTGGTTACAACAAACGTTTTTTATTATGCCTCAAGTGGTGTTTGGTTATTACTTATTTTTGTGTTGGTTTTGACTTATTATAACGCTAGTTTATGATCTATTATGGTTATTATTTAGTTATGACTGAAGACATCTTTGATTCTATCTAATGGTATTTGGTTTTGTCTCATCGTATGTTTTTTAGTTATGACATGAAGTGATTTAGTTATGATATTTGTGGTATCAACACTACAAATAGTTATAACTTGTATATGATCCACACACACAAAAAAAAGTGTATTGTAGAAGGACCCTTTTTTTTTCTTTTTTTTTTGTAATTTTTTACAATTTTGTTTAGGCTTTGTTTGATCTTGAGTTTTTAGAGAAATTTGTACCCAAGCACTGCTTTTTCCCAATGTATTAGCATTCAACATTGCTTGGTAGCCTAAATTTTCATGGCCCGAATGACTTGAATGTCTCAAAACGACGTCATTTTGGAGGTAAAATGACGTTGTTTTGATACATTCAAGCCATTCGGGCCACACAAATTCGAGGTACCAAGCATTTTTCATTAGCATTTAGCAAGGAGAAACTTGTGAGTCCCACGACACTAACACAAAGTGTCTACTATAGCGCTCAAAAACCTCTCACAACAAAGTATTGGAGTCTAGTCGATTGAATTTTTTTTTTTTTTATTTTGTCCTTTGTTTTTTCTCTTAACAAATTCATAATATAAAAACAACTTTACTGAATTTGGGACATATAAAACTACAAAAGGAATTTGTGATATACATGCATTTCCTTTTTAAAAAGCACAACCTTTTTTGTTTTTTTGTTTTGTTTTTGAACCTCTTTTTTCTCTTTGCCTGATGATGCAGTACCCCCAAAGTCTTGTAATCTTTATGCCCCAAGTTTTGAATTCCCAATCTCTCAAATCCGGTTTCACATGCTCACATAATTGGTGGGGTGATTGAGAGTTACTTAAAAGAACCACTTTTTTATTTTTTTATTTTTATTTTTAAATCATGAGATTAAATATTTAAATTTTGAAATTTGTTAAAAACAAAAGAAAAACAGAGAAGAGAAGGAAGAAAAGAAGTACCTACTTCATTTCTCTCTACCCTTTCCTTCTATTTTTGCCCTATAAATTCTTTCACAAGTTAAATATCCTAACACTTTCCTTAAAGTTGTTTGACAAAATTGCTTTGGGACAAAATTCGGCTACTCAACTTACACCCAAAAAAAACAAAAAAACTAACCTAATCTCAACACTAAAATCCATTTCCAATAGGAAGTTCTTGTGAGCCCACAAGTGATTCTTAATCATTTTAAACAGTCCTTCCGCCATATTATATTATCATTAACACAACGACCACAAATGAAATTAATTATAAAAAATAAAAAATTGAAAACGAAAACAAAATATAAAATAAAGTAAATTAATTACCTCTCCATTGAGATACCAAGGATGCCATGGAGTCTTAAGATGAAGCTTCATCTTATTAATAGAATACTTGGTTGAAGTCACTGGTATCCTTCCATCTACGTCACCGCTGCAACCAACCAGCAGAAATGTACTCAATAATTTAGATTTTCACTATATACAAAAATAATGAAGATATAGTCTTATTGTTTCAATGTGTCATTCATAACAATTTGACTATTTTAATTTATTTATAACTTTTCCCTTGTTCAATTGTTTTCAGTTTGTTTTCAACGAAAAGTGAAATATTTCATCAAAATTTAGAGGATCGAAATGACTACAACCAGAAGGCATAGCTTAGTAGCACATATATCTCAATTCACACGAGTAAAAATTTAGTATGCAAGTGATATGATGTAGCAGTAGCACAAACTTTGGATTTTGAAAAATAATAAATTCCACATTTTCTCAATCCAAACTGAAATAGTAAATCACTTATTATTCAGATTTTTCTATAAAAATCAACTCAACGTGATTATTTTGTTGGAGTTCTTGCCCGATCTAGATTGTAATGCATAGAGTAATGGTTACGTCAAAAATCCTAGCTCTGTCCTTCAAGGGTATAGCATGCATCTAAGTACCATTGAATTTTGATTTTGATTTTTTTTTTTATTTAAAAAAACACCATATAAAATTCTATGACAAGGGGGGATGCGCAAAAAAAAAAATAAAAAATATATAAAAAATGTGGATAAATGATTACTTGTTTATATATATTGAAAAATATGTGTTTGACAACATAAATAACGAGGTTGTCTTGTAACGTTTTAAAAAATATGCAAAACTTGTAGTGGACAATTATAGAATTGTAAACATATACTTCTTTTTTTTTTTTTTTGGGGGGGGGGGGGTTTTAAAAAATATGCAAAACTTGTAGTGGACAATTATAGAATTGTAAATATATACTTTTTTTGGAGGGGGGTGTTGTTAAAGGAGTAGTAATTAATGTCTTTTTGTTTTTACATGCCATTTGATTAGTTCAAATTACTTTGTTAATATTACTAAGAATGTAAGAAAATATAGTTCATCATATGAAAGTTGATTCCAATTTACATTTTGTAAATTTAAAAATATAACCTATGAAATTAATTACTACTAGTTGATGATGACCCTACTAAATGATATTCTTGATCACACTACAATTATCTCTGCATGTGATGTGGGCATAGTGAATCTTATATAGTTGTAATTATTAGATTAAAACTATATCTAAATAATGGCATTCAAATGATATTTTATTTTAAAATATAATTATTACATGTGAATAACATCATAACATTCAATTTTTATTCCATGTTGTAGTAGTTAGAGATTGAGTTGTGAATGTAGAAGCTAGGGAGAGAGTAATCAAGGGTCAGTCCATCTATTATGAGCATTTTTCACTTTAAAAAGGTGAAGTCTTACGTATATCATGTATTTGGACCACAATAGGTCCATAGTTCAAAGTTGTAAAGGGTTTAAAATGAGGTGTTCTAGTTGCTCTGACACCTTGGTTGCACAAGCAGGACCAAGAAAGCCCCATTGAGTTTGGTACGAGGCACAACCTTTGTTGTGACCCATGTCCTAGGAAACTAGGGAGTTTGTGGTTAAGTGACTAAGGGTGAAAGAGTCACTGAGGTAGATACCAGTATGGCTAATAGCAGGTCATAAGTTCTGAGAGTACATGTTTTGAGAAACCGAGCTGAGAAAAGGGAGTCCCTTACTTTCGGGCTACCCTATTCCCATCTTCACGAGGTCGTCGTGGTATACTAGTATTTTTGGTACTTAAAATCAACTCCAACCAGTAAGCTTTGGGGCTGCTATTAGCGCCAAGCTATATGAGTTTCGGGCCTACTATCAGCCCTTGGCTATTAATGCTTTGGTGCCTACTATCAACCCCAAGTGTCTATACATTGTTTTGTATATATGGAGGAGGCCTATCTCGAAGGCTGTTGTGCCTCAGAAGGTAGTTGCAGAGGTTAGAATTGCTACGACTCCCTTTCCCTTAGCAAGTGACAACAAGTGACAAGGCGGCATCGTAATAAAAAATGGTGGCGCAAAGGTAGGGTCTCCCTCAGCAAGTGAAGCTCCGCAAGTAGTACCTCAGCAAGTTCCCTTGGTCACTTCTTGGTCTGGGCCATTTGGTCCGAATGGGTCAAATCTGGTTCGGTCTTCTGATTGGCCCATTTTTGAGTTTTGACCCCTATTCATTTAGTGATACTTATTGCCTAATTAAGGCGACTTCAATAATTAAGTCAGCGTTTTAATTTCTCTCTTTCTACAAAAGTTAATGTCATTGTCCTAATAGGAATGGAAAGCATACGACGTGATTTTACCCACTACCATTATAAATAGAAGTAATAATAGTGGGGACAACAATGATGAATGATGATGAATGATGATGAATTGAAAAGAAGGAAGGGTGTGTGTTTACCTAAATACCCACACTCGAAGTCCATTTGCCATTAACTCTTGGAGGAGGGGAATAATTGTTGATGGACTATCTCCCCAACGTCTGATGACTTGACTGCAATTATTTTGTTAAGTTTCATTTCAGCTAATAATTTCATACTCTTATTGGGCACAAGCAGAGACAGAGAGCCAAACACATAGTAGTACATACCTGCATGGTTCCCAATCATAACTGAGTTTGGTTACATTGGCATGTAGGGCCTCTTGAACATCAGCACGATTCAAATAAGCATACACATAATGATCACTGCATGGATCAAAATTCAACACCTGCAACAAATATTCACCCTTAGAGGTCTATGAAATATGGATAAAGGATATGATAAGATAGGAATACTATAACCTTTAAAGAAAAAAAGAGAAAATCAACCTTAGTTGTAATTTGAAAAAATTATTACATATGGATGGAAAAGTTTATAATTTTAATTATTAATATTGATAAAGTTTATCATCAATTTGTAATTAGTTTTCAAATTTTATCCTTATTTGAAATTTCTCCTAAAAAAATGTTAATTAATAAAAGGTTCAAACTTATGGGGTCATATATTATTTGGTCTAAGGTTTAATATTTTTTGGTCATAAAACATGCGTTGAAATGTTGTCAAAAAAAGCAATCAGCGTTGGACAAGTTGCAAGCGGTTGGCAATAGTGGCCGGTTGCTGCAGCTAGTGGCGGTGAGATAGACAAATAGGTGAATAGATAAATGATACATGTACAAACATGTGACATTTGGATATACGACAGATGGGTATCCTTTTGGATAGATTAATGTTTTTTTGAGCTAAAAAGATTTAAGCTTGGACCAATAGGCATAAACATTACAGAAATAAACGTTTGGCTTGAGTACTATTACAAAAATAAGATATCAATATGGTTTAGATATGTTCCTAAAATATTTGTATATATAATTTTTAGTATTATATTATATAGAGTTAATTACACTTAGCACCTTTATACTTTCAACAAAATCTCATTTTGGTCATTTCAATTTCTTTGTGATAATCAACTTTTTACATTTTAAGTTGAGTTGAAATGTTACTCGTCCATCCATCTATCGTTAAGGAGATTGGAAAAAAATTAAAAATAAAAATCACCAAATAAATATTTTGATGAAAGTGTAAGAATTTAAATGATAAAAGTATAAAAGTATTAATGAGTCGAGAAAAATATCACTTATAACTCACATAATAAGTTCCATAAGCCTTACTAACATTAAATGAAAGAAAAAGTAAGATTACACTTTTATTCAATTTAAAATATAAAAGATTGAACTTTATAATTAAAAATGTAAGAGTACAAAATATAACGAACCCTAGTGTATATAAGCTCAGAAGAAAGGTAGATTTTAAAAATTGGATTGTTTCAAAAATATTTTCTTCTGAAAAATAGTTTTCGACAACAAGCTCTTGGTAAACCAAAGAAAAGGACACCAAACAGACACAACTTCTGTTGCGCAAATGAATTTGTTTTTGGGTTTGGTGTGTACATTTTGAGAAGATAATCTATATAAAAAAAATTAGGTTAAAAAAAATATTCATAATTACATGTTCAGATCATGTGTCTTATAAAATTGAACGGCAATTATAGTTTTCAGAATAAATAGTTTAGTATTTTTTCTAAGATAAATGTATTTCAATTATTTGATTATAAATGTTCGATTAATCTATTTTTTTTTAATACATGAATGCTCTTCTCAATTTTTCTTAAAATATGAATAATTCGAATAATTCAAAATTAACCTTCAAAATAGGTCCACCAAAGCCCAATTGTACCTCTTCAACTACATCACCAATGGTAGGGGAGTTAAACCAGCTTAATTTATCAGGCCTCATGTGGTTTCACAAAGATGTTTCTATATTCTTAATGAAAGTAATCACAATTCGAAGAAAATTTTGTAAGAAAATACATAGAGCCAAAAGGATTGTGGGTTGAAGTATTATGTTAAAAAATAATAATTGTAAAGAGTAATGCTAAGTTTACTATAATGCTCTGTTTGTTTTGATAGAAAACATTTTTCAAAGAATACTTTTTGTACTTTCTAGCGTTTGATACAACGAAAAATAAAAGTCGACATAAAACATTTTTTATGGTTAATAAAAAATAAGTCTATTTGATCTGAAATATTTTCTACCTTTAAAAAGCAAAAAACGTTTTCCGAATCAAATTTTTATAAATGTCACCACATTTCCACCATTACCATCACCAACATACCACCACCACCATTACCACCGTCGCCGTTGCCGCCACCTCCACTGCCCTAAACCCATTGCCACTCAGTGCCGGCTTTTGGCACAAGCGGAAGAAGTGGCCGCTTTGGGCCCCCGCAAATTGGTTGGAAAAAAGACAACAAAAAAATTGAAAAAAATATCAAATAAGTCTTATTTTTTTTGTTATACTTGTTCATAAAAAAGAAACCCTAAAAAAAAGTACTGATATTTAAAACTAGGAAAATGAGTCGTAGCTCGAAAATCTTGGCTCGAAATTGGCTCGAATGTCGTTTTGGGAGTTTTGGGTGGTCTGAAACAGAGGAGAAAGAGGGAGAGAAGAGAGGAAGAAGAGAGTAGAAGAGAAAGAGGAGGGGAAGAGGGAATGGAGAGAAGAGAGGGCCCCTCCGCTACTGCCGTTGGCCGAGCCCCTCCGCTTCGTCGTAGCACCAGCGATCGTCACAGCACCACCACCGTCGCTTAATTAATAAAAGGTTCAAACTTATGGGGTCATATATTATTTGGTCTAAGGTTTAATCTTTTTTGGTGATAAAACACGCGCTAAAATGTTGTCAAAAAAAGTAGCCAGTGTTGGAAAAGTTGCAAGCGGTTGGCAATAGTGGCCGGTGGCTGCAGCTAGTGGTGGTGAGATAGACAAATAGGTGAATAGATAAATGATACATGTACAAACATGTGACATTTGGATATACGACAGATGGGTATCCTTTTGGATAGATTAATGTTTTTTTGAGCTAAAAAGATTTAAGCTTGGACCAATAGGCATAAAAATTACAGAAATAAACGTTTGGCTTGAGTACTATTAAAAAAATAAGATATCAATATGGTTAAGATATGTTCCTAAAATATTGGTATATATAATTTTTAGTATTATATTATATAGAGTTAATTACACTTAGCAGCTTTATACTTTCAATAAAATCTCATTTTGGTCATTTCAATTTCTTTGTGATAATCAACTTTTTACATTTTAAGTTGAGTTGAAATGTTACTCGTCCATCCATCTATCGTTAAGGAGATTGAGAAAAAAATAAAAATAAAAATCACCAAAGTAATATTTTGATGAAAGTGTAAGAATTTAAATGATAAAAGTATAAAAGTATTAATGAGTCGAGAAAAATATCACTTATAACTCACATAATAAGTGCCATAAGCCTTACTAACATTAAATGCTTCGGGGGTGCAATAGACATTACAAAAAAAAGCAGATTTTGCGACTAAAGTCTGTGGGAAAAGCAAAGGCAATTTTTTTTTTTTTTTTCTGGAAAATGCTTTTGGCGACTAAAGTCTGTGGTCGTCGAAAGATTGGCTATTGGCGACGAAAAGTTTAGTCGGCAAATGTATAAATAAAAAAAAAATTCACTATTGGCGACTAAAAGTTTAGTCGCTAAATGTATAATTTCCAAAAATGGAATTGACTATTGGCGACAAATTCTTTAGTCGCTGAAGACCTGTACATTGCCGACTAACAGTTTTTTAGTCGCCAAAGGTATTCGCGACCATGTATTCGCGACAAAATCGGCGACTAAAATATTTAGTCGGGAAAAGTGAAAATTCGACATTTGGCGACTAAAAAAGGACTTTTGGCGACTAAATTTTTAGTCGCCAAAGATGTGTTTTCTTGTAGTGACTATAACCTTCACCACATTACTATCACCACCACTACTGCCGCCACCACATCATTACTGTTGCACAACTATCGCCACCACCACCACCCTAACACCTTCACTGCCACTTCTACCTTGTCGTTGCCACCACTATCACCACTACTGCAACCATTAGTACATTAGTTTCAAAAATACAACTAAGCATAAAAAAAATATTTTCTAAAATTGTTTTTATGAAAAAAAATTCAAAATTTAAAAAAAAAAATTTCTACCAAAATAACGGAGCGTAAAATAAAATGGTATTGAGTATTCTTTTTTTGAACAACATTGAGTATTCTTTTTTGATCAACAACATTGAGTATTCTTGTAACATTAAAATTGAATAGTAAAATGTCTATGAGAGAGAGAGAGAGAGAGAGAGAGAGAGAGAGAGAGAGAGAGAGACATACAGAAGCCTTTTTGGGAAATAGAGTGATATTGAAAGAGGTGCATAAAGGAGCATAGATGTTATAGATATCAATATTGCCAATATCAGCTTCACCGGTTGCAGCATAGCATTCATTGGACTGAGTGGTGGCATTGGGTGAGAAATTACAGTATTTCCGGATTTTATATGAAGTTTGGTCGGAAATGACAGCATGGCTTGCAAAGTAATCAAACATTCCTTTCCCATCTGTCTCATCATTTATTGCTGCATTCCCAATCTGCACTTCGTACATTACACACAACACCAATCACCAACCTACTACTACTTTATGTACAATTACACCAATATGCTAATTTTATCATCCAAATTCCAATTCATCATCCCATCAATTTCATCAGTTTTTCATTTCTTATATTCGGATTTAAGATTTGAGGATGAATTTGTATAGGGAAATATTGGTCACTTTTTTTTTGTTTTTTTTTTCCCTTCTAATTTTTCTTTTTCTTTTTATCCACAAACTTTTTTTTCAAATCTTAAATCAAAATATAACTATGTAGACCAATTTTTCTTATTGATTTTATTGATTTTGATTTTACTGAATCTACATGTGAAAATGGCATTTGTTGATTAGATTCATATGAAAAGTGACCCCAAAAAAAGGGGTAAAATTTGTGTTATGATATATAACAGCTTTCTTTCATGATCTACGATATGTAGTTTTTTTATTTTTATTTTTATTTTTTTAATATAATTACACTTGCTGAAACAACAATGCTACATCCTTAAAAATATTTCAACAATTGTCATAATATTAAATTAGTAAATTACACTGATCTCCCCTAATGTTATGAAAAAATACAATAAGCACTAGAGGTTGGCATAGTAATTGTATTGAGCTCCTTTAAGGTTTTAATTCACAAAAAAATAAAAAATAAAAAAGGTTTTAATTCAAAAAACACTTAATTTTTGATAAGGAAGAGGTCCAAGAGGTTGATTCAGTGTAATCATTTAGTGTAATGTGCTGTTCATCAAGTGTCATGTGCTGCAGCTGTAGACAACATTCTTTAACAGATTGTAACTGATTTGGTTAGATTGTAACAGCTTTAGTCAGTTACTTAGTTACATGATGTGTAGTTAGTTAGAAGTGTGGTTAGGTTAATTAGTTTGTTAGTTTGTTACCTATACTGGTATATAAATATGACTTGTAATGTCTTATAATATTCAATGAAGATATCTTAGATTTTACTTTACCTTTCGTCATGGTATCAGAGCACCAAGAAGCTCTCGCGAGCAATTCTCAAGCTTCATCTATGGAGTCCTCTGCTATTCCTTCCAATCTCAATCTACTGCTATCGAATCTCAGTTCTCTTGTAACAGTGAAGCTGGATGGCTCGAATTTTGTTATTTGGAAGAATCAAATACAGAATCTGCTTCGAGCAACAGATCTACTCGCTATTGTTGATGGCTCAAAGAAGTGTCCTGTTGACACAATACCACAGTCTGCCGGAATGGAAATTCAAAATCCAGAAGCTGTTAGATGGAAGATGATTGATGCGCATCTACTCAGCTGCATCACTATTACTCTCTCTCCTGCGATTTTCACTTCTGTGTTACATCTTCACACCAGTGCTCAGGTCTGGCAATTTCTTGATAAACGCTTTACCTCTCTCTCTAGGTCTCATATTCACCAGTTAAAGAACAAATTGAGTTCTATTTCAAAGGAATCAGATTCAATGGAAGTGTATTTGAGCAAAATCAAAAGTATTGTTGATCAGTTAAGTGTTGCTTCGTCATTTGTGGAAGATGAGGATATTGTTCTTCTTACATTGAATGGATTGCCTTCTGAATATGATGCAGTTAAAGTAGCTTTTCGAACTCGTACATAATCTATTTCTATGGAGGATCTCTCTGCTCTACTTTGTTCAGAACCTATTCACATTGAAGGAAAATTAAAGCACAGTTCTAATCTAACTGTTGCTTATGCAACTGTGACAGACTCTCATGCTGCTTCTAATATTTCTAGAGGATTTAACTCTTATCATCATAACAGAGGTTCTTCTCGTGGTGATTCTAGAGGTTCTCATAGATTCTATTCAAGAAGATCCTCTCGTGGCAGATCTCAACGAAGAGGACAATTTGGCATTGTGTGCCAAATCTGTGGTAAAGCTAATCACATAGCTCATGACTGTTGGCATAGGCTAGATACTCAATTTCAGTCTTCACAAGTGTCTCCATCCCATCAATCAAAGCCATATCAGTCTCACTCTCAGCCATACCAGTCTCAGCAATCAAAGGCATATGTTACCTCTTTAACTGAGGACAATGGTTCTTGTTCTCCCTGATTTTTGGACTCAGCTGCTTCTGATCATATCACTAATGATCTTCATCAACTTAACTCCATTCAACCCTACACTGTTGGTAATCAAGTCACTATTGGTAATGGCTCTTCCATTCCTATCACTCATACAGGTCAAGGTATACTACCTACTCCTCACCATTCTTTCAAACTAAACAAAGTTTTGCATGTACCTTCTATTAACTCTAATCTTGTCTCTGTGCATCACTTGGCTAAAGATAATAACTGTTCTATCACATTTGATCATTCTTCTTTTACTATTCAGGACAAGCTTTCCAAGGCCATACTCCATAAAGGTTTTTATGCCAATGGACTATATCAATTCCACACTCCAACCACTGCTTCCTCACATACCTACAGTAGTTCAGTTACTTCTACTGATTCTACTAACATTTGGCATCAGAGATTAGGCCATCCTTCTACTCTTAAGTTTCATTTGCTTAAGCACAAATTACCTTTGGCTGTAGTTTCCAATAAAAGTACCTTTTCTTGTGTACATTGCTCTATAGCCAAATGTCATAGGCTACCTTTTACATTGTCTAATTCCACTGTAAATAATCCACTGGCTTTGATTCACAGTGATGTATGGGGTCCCTTTAATAAATCTGCTTCTCTTTACAAATACTATGTGTTGTTCATTGATGATTTTACCAGATTCACTTGGCTTTATCCTCTTGTTTATAAAAGTGAAGTGTGTGCCAAATTTATGGAATTCAAAGCTTTTGTGGCAAAACAGTTTGGTTTTCCTCTCAAAATTCTTCGTAGTGATGGAGGTGGTGAATACAAGAATCATCCTCTTCAACATTATCTTCACATTCATGGTATTCACCATCAGTTTTCCTGTCCACATACTCCCTCTCAAAATGGAGTGGCTGAGAGGAAGCACTTACATCTCACTGAAACTGCTATTTCTCTTCTTCATCAGTCCTCTATGCCTCTTCTTTAGTGGTTTGATGCCATAGCAGCTGCCACATATTTGATCAATCGTTTACCTAGTGTTTCTCTTAATAATTGCTGTCCTTTTGAGTTGATGTATCATACTTCTCTTGATTACTCTCTACTAAAAGTCTTTGGTTGTCTTTGCTTCCCCTGGC